TGTTTCAGTTAGCAGATATGGTTTAGTTTTTCCCTCTGAGCACTTTTTCAAAACAGGGAGCTTTTTCTGTGTCTCATTTCTTAAGCATTTTTTCTCCATGAAACGGGTCCCTCTTACTATAAGCTGTTCGAAACAGTTTCTCCATCCTACACTAGAGCTGCACTAAAAGGAGTTTTCAGAAGTATGCAGGAGCCACATTCTTGCAGAAAAGGGGGAGGTGAAAGGAGAAGAGGTAAGGGTTTCTGGGCAATCCCTGGATTTGAATGAGGCGGTGAATGAATGTGGACTATTGCTCTTCACAGGGGAAGGGGAGCACTGTGATCAAGGCAGGACGCTGGAAAGAGAATGTTTTGAGAAGTGTCTCAGGGAAACTTCAAGCCACTGAAGATGGAGAACGAGACGGTCAGCGAACTGAACCAGACACAGCTCCAGCCACGAGCAGTGGTGCCCCTAGAATACCAAGTGGTCACCATCTTACTTGTGCTCATCATTTGTGGTCTGGGCATTGTGGGCAACAGCATGGTAGTCCTCGTGGTCATGAGAACCAAGCACATGAGGACCCCCACAAACTGCTACCTGGTGAGTCTGGCAGTGGCCGATCTCATGGTCCTGGTGGCCGCGGGCCTACCCAACATCACAGACAGTATCTACGGTTCCTGGGTCTATGGCTATGTTGGCTGCCTCTGTATTACTTACCTCCAGTACTTGGGCATTAATGCTTCGTCCTGTTCAATCACAGCCTTCACCATTGAGAGGTACATAGCGATCTGTCACCCCATCAAAGCCCAGTTTCTCTGCACATTTTCCAGAGCCAAAAAGATCATCATCTTCGTCTGGGCTTTCACATCCATTTACTGTATGCTCTGGTTCTTCTTGCTGGATCTCAATATTAACACCTACAAAGATGCTATCGTGGTGTCCTGTGGCTACAAGATCTCCAGAAATTACTACTCACCTATTTACCTAATGGACTTTGCTGTCTTTTACTGTGTGCCCATGATCCTGGCCACTGTCCTCTATGGATTTATAGCTAGGATCCTCTTTTTAAATCCCATTCCTTCAGATCCTAAAGAAAACTCTAAGACATGTAAAAATGGCTCAACTCCTCAGAACAAGAATTTGAATTCGAAGACCTCTAATAGGTGTTTCAACAGCACAATATCTTCAAGAAGACAGGTAAGCAAATCTGAACATCCGGGTCCATGGAGGAAATGTGGGCTAGAGTTCCTTGTGAGATGGGATCAACTTTGCCCTCCTTAGCTGATGCCTAAACCAAAATACAATCATGTAAACATTTCACAGTATAAGCTTCTGCTTTACATAATAAATCCATCTCTAAAGCAACTGAAGGTCTAAAAATAGATGGGGAGATGTTGATAGCACATCAGCGGGTACCAGTTTAGGTGTTATTAAAGTATAAGGAACTATAAACAGAAGCCCTAGAAATCCACCTTTAAAATGTTTGTGCCTCTCTGGGAAATGGTATCAAAATATTTATACCCTTTCTGGCTTCTGTAGGGGGCAGCTGGATATCTTTTAAGAATTCTATTGCACTGCAAAGATTTGATAAGATAGCTTGAGAAAAGGTGAGATAAAGCAATAATGAAACTTTTCCTACCCTTCTATAGTTGCCCACGACTGAGACACAGGACTGAGGGGGTTCCAGGACCTGCCTTAGTCTCAGTGGGAAAGATTTGATCACCCTCTACCCCCACCAGGCCCCCACAAAGTGTGTCAGCCTGCAGAGGCTGAGAATGCACTTTGCTCAGACAATGTTCTGATAAAAAGGCTAACACCAAGCTCAACTTGTTACACACACACACACACACACACACACACACACACACACACGATTGCATTTTTAAAAATGTATGATTTTCCTACTAAAGCATAACTAAAAAGCCCTTTATGCTTTCAGATCATCTGAATCCCCAGGTGGCTACAGCTGGATAGTAGTTTTACTAGTGAGTGAAGTACAACTTCAGTTACAGTAGATATGGTTTCTAAGAAAACATAGGAAAAATACATTTATATCAGATACATATTTATCTATATTTACACAATTGTTCTAAGTTACTTATGAAGTCAGCTTTAAGTTCCTTTCTTTCTTTGCTAAACAGAATAAACACATGGTAAACATTTATGCTCACAGCTGAAAAAGAAATGAAATCAACAACACGGGCTCTTTCAAATTGTGTGTGTGTGTGTGTGTGTGTGTGTGTGTGTGTAGAATATAATTCTTCCTGTGTACATAGATAGAAACTGAGTATACCTTGAAAGTATGCATATGGATCATCTATTTTAACTCTAGATTAACTGCTATATGAAGAATTATAATTGGAAATGTGGGCACAAGTGCAACAAGCTACTAATAAATGTCTGTGTTTTAGGTATACATGAAATCAATAATGAACTGTAACTGAAAAGAAATATTTACAGCATTTTAAATGATACTGTGGTACTTGATTTACATAACTTTAATTATTGAAGATACTTAGATTATAGAAAGAGAAGACCTGAACAACTATTAGATTCCTATTGCTTTGGGAATCTAGCAGTACTACCTAATACAAGGCATATTTGGCCATCTAGTACCCAAAACTTGATTAAGGGAAATTCAAAGAGAACCGCTGACCATCTGCCAAGACAAACATTAAAAAATACAATAAGATAGTAAAGCATATGTACATCTCAATTAGAGACCAAACGTGGGCTAATGTCTGCAGCAAAGAAGGTCAGTGAGTAAATTTATTCATTAGACTCCAATTGATATTCTTGTTATAAGATCTGAAATATTGCTTGTCTGGTCTAATATTTCCTTCCTTTCAATTACAGTCATTAGTACTGAACAGCATTAAATTGTTAATCCTGTTACATATGCACACTCTTATTTCAAAGCTGTTACAGATAGGCTGTCTTTACAGAGGCTGTGTGGCAGAAGGAAAAGGAAAAATTTTGGCTCCAAACAATCCTGAGCTTAAATGCCAGGGTTCTAATCAAGTTGTGTGATCTTGGAGAAGCAGAACTCTCTGAGCCTCAGTTTTCTCATTTATAAAATGAGGGCAAACAGCAACATCCAGGATTGTCTATCTTATGAAAGACACCTAAAATGGCATGATAATTAACATCTGGGTGTTAATTAACCTCCTTCATAATTTTCTAGCATGCTGACAGCTATTAAGAAAATGCAGCCAGTCAGAGAAAGACAAATATCATGTAATATTTGTCTTTCTCTGACTGGCTGTCTTTCCTTAATAGCTGTCACTTACATGTGGAATCTAAAGAACAAAATGAGCTGACAAACAAAATAGGACCAGAGGCATGGATAAATGAACAGACTGACAGTTCTCAGAGGGGATGAGGTGGGGAGGACGGGAAGAGATCAACCAAAGAATTTATATGCATAGATGAATAGTCCATGGACACAGACAATAATGCGGTGAAGGCCTGGGGTGGGGGTGAGGTGGAGGCAGGGTGGAGGGGGGCAAAAGGGGGAAATATGGGGGAAATCTGTAATAGAGTCAATAATAAAAAAAAAGAAAATACAGATTTATTCTTAAAAACATTCATTTGCCATTTAAACAGATTATTTGTTAAACAAATGTGTATATTATACAGTACCTTCTTTAAGGAAACTTTTAATAATTAGGGCGTTTGGAAATGTACTCAGAACATTTAGGGTTGTCACAATAACATCACTGTCAGCTAGCATCTGGAGCCAGGGATGCCAAATGTCCTGGAACGTGCAAGACAGTCCTGCGCAAGGAAGTGCCTTGTTACAAATGCCAATAACACCCTCAGAAAGAAATATGGGATGACATATGAATCAATAGAATCATATTTAAGTACTGTGTCCTGTCATTTAGCCCTAATTATAGATGGGATGGGAGTTCAGAGAAAAGAAAGGAAATTTTAAAGCAAGAGACATCAGAGAAGACTTCACAGAAGAGGTGGCATTTGAGAAGGCTCTGGAAAGATGGGGATAATTTGGAAAATGAAAGTCAGGAGGGACAGCACTCCACACAGAAAGGACCTGGCTGGGATGAGAAGGGTATGGGTTTGAAGAGGAGATAAGGGGGGGCACATAGGGTGGGAATTTTACGGGATGGAATGACTTTGTTGACCAAAATGAATGAGGTATTTGGGCGAGTAGTAAAGAGTAAGATGGGATTGATAGCTGTGTGTATGTGTGTGTATGTGTGTGTGTGTGTGTGTGTGTGTGAGAGAGAGAGAGAGAGAGAGAGAGAGAGAGAGAGAGAGATAGAGAGAGAGATGCTTTGGAGGATTTCAACTATCAGGCGGAGAAGGGAGACTGAACTTAGTGCAGAGGCAAAAAAATGAGAGTGGTGAGCAGGAGCAGCAGGAGGAAAGTGGTGCTGAGGATGATGACTGGGACAGCTTGGTTTGGAGGCCGAGAGATGGCGGCAGAAAGACCACTCTGAAAGCTGGTGGCAGTGATTCGGGAGTGAGGTTGTAAGACTTTCTATCAGAAAAATTTAAAGTAAGATATGAACTTGGGAGATGTTTTGAAGAAAGAAAGGGTGAGATGTGTACATATTAGATACAAGCGATGCAGAGAGGACATTCAACGTGGATCAGTGTTCTGAGTCTGGAACAACGGTGGTGCCCCGGATAAATGGGAACGAGAGTCATGAAGTTTTGTCCACAATCAATGACCTTTATCTAGCCTTTTCTTCTTCTGAAGTAATTATTTTCTTAAATCTTTGAAAGTTCAAATCTCCACCTTCTATGACCCATGGACTTCTATTTTAATATTTTCTCTGCATTTTTTTTTCTTTCAGGCAAGTTTAATCCCTGTTTTAATAAATATTATGTCCAGGCCAGGTATTTCTAACCAAGTTATTACAGTCAAATATGCTTAGCCTTAAAGAACTACAGTTAAAGGGAAATAAAAGAGCATTTGTATGTAAGGGACAAATGTGAGTTTTTGTTTGTTTGTTTTCAAGTTCTATCCTCTATGCAGGAAACCCAGGCCATATTCTTTCTTGCTCCTATTACTCAGAGATTTAATTATATTTTAGGAAACCAAATAAATATTTGGTAAATTCAATGAAGTAAATTATTCAAACTAATGGCTTGGAATTGCATAGACAAGAGAACTCTCTGATTGACTAAATCTTTTGCTTACAATTAGTTGTTTTGATATTGAGGAGACACAGTTTAAATGATCAGCTTGTCACATCTCAGCTGTATCTGCACAATGGGAAAATACTCTCCCAGTTCAGTCAATTCAGATGTTCGGCATTGTGTAGATAAAATATCTCTATTATTGACTGTACATTTCAAAGGAATTGATTGGAACTTTTGGCATTCTGGAGGCAACAAAAACGTGTGCCTCCGAGGGCTATCATATGGATAAACACAATCCATTCAAACATTTGCTTTCCACGGGATACAGGGGTCTGCACAATACTTTAGTGATCACGCCACCAGTTTTAATTTCAGTTGAGTCACTGTAGCTTTCTTTTCTGTTAGCATAGCTGGTGGGGGAACTGTAACATAACCCAAATAGAGGCTTTAACACTTTATGGCCAAATTTTCATTATGGGTTTTATGTGACTAAACAAGCCTATAAAATACCAAACAGTCTTTGTGTCCATAAATTTCTTAAATGCCTTCTACTTTATTAGAAGAATGTTGGTATCTAAGAAACAAAAGCATTTTTTAAAGCAATACATGCCTTTTGTTGCTGTTTCCATTGTTACCACAATGACAATATAAAAGCAATCATGTGTTTTATGAAAAAACACAAAAAACTAGGAATAAGAAAAAAATATCCTTTACCCCACTTCTTAAAACCACAATTTATTAGTATTTAGTTATATTATTTTTCTGATATTTTCATTGCTCTTTTTATATTATTTTATATATACATAGTATATATAATTTTGTATCCTGCTTTTACATAAAAATGTTAAAATTATTATTCTCAAAGAGAATAGCACAGAAAAAAATGAGAAAGACTGTGAGTCCGTTTCTCTCAACCTCAGTTTCCTTATCATTAAAATGGGACTAACAATTACTCATAGAGTCACTGTTCAAATTGAGTCAGATGCATCAGACAAAACTCATGTTTGCTCTCCTCCCACCTGCTCCATCAGCTATCTTCCCTCACTCCTGTCCTCAGTGACCTTCAACCCCTAAGCAGGCTCCTA